AGGAAGGAGGGAGCGGGACCAATCAGGACCCGGGCTGATGATCTGTCAGTCGAAGCCACGCCCCCTCTCCTTATCTGTCTGATTGCTTACATCCACTGGAGCTGTGTTCCCAACCCATTAGCAGCTGTAAGTTAGCGGGGCAGGGTGGGCTTCTGGGGGGTTTGGAGAACGTTTCCCTGCTGATGGACTCAGAGCTCCTCTGTATTTACTCTGGGAAAAGTTCATGATCCAGCAGAAGAAGAAGAAGAAGAAGAGAAGAGCTGGCAGACGTGAAGTCAGTCCAGCAGGGCGAATATAAGAATAATGTTGTAATGTTATAATAACGGTTCATTTAGAGACATGTGATAAATCGATAGATCAAGACTTGGACGAGATCGAGGAGCTGCTGCGTTCAGAGGACCTGCCGTGGTTAGAGCTCTGTCTCAGGAACATTTGCTCTCATTAGTCCCTCTGAGAGGAGAGAGAGTCTGTGACATGAATCCATCCAGACTTTGTAAAACGGACTCTGAGATCAAAGTTAGCAGAACCAGTAAGACCCAGACATCCACAGAGTCTCCAGAGGAGCTTTCAGACCCGTAACTCTGTCAGACCTGATTCTTCTCATCGTTAACACAGAATCTGTTCAGTTACACAAATGAAAAAACATCATTTTTTTGGATAGTTTGTCTGTTTTCACATTTATTCCCTGAGCTTTAAAGAAACGAAGAAAACATGTAAATGTCCAGAGAGGACGGACGTCCCTGAAACCTGAGAACTTAATAAAGGAGTATTTTACTCTGTTTTCTACTCTCAGGTGATTTTCTTGTTTTGATTGGATCATTACCTCACACTGACTCATTCACAGTTTTACTAATGTTTGAGGTTAAATGAGACTGGAAGCAGAACAACCTCCAGTTTTGGTCCCTGATTGGTTGGAGGAGCAGCGTTGATCAGCTGACTGTCTTTGGTCTCGGGTCCTTAACCAGGGGCCGAGTGTGGGGACATTAAAATGTTAAAGTGTGTTTTCCCAACAAGCTCTCGATTCTGTGAGAGTCCCTCTGAATTATTCTGAGATAGAGACGCCATCTTGACCTTTATTTCTCTGTTTCAGGGCATCGAGTGGACCAACATCGAATACTTCAACAACGCTATTATCTGCGACCTCATTGAGAATGTGAGTCAGTCTCCCAGGACCAGGACCACCCCAGACCAGTTTCTGCATGAGCCCAGACTCAGGCCTGATATCTTTAGTAGAGAGCAGCTTCAGAGATGAATGTGATTATTCAGTAACTCTGTGTGATCAGATGTTGTGTAACTCTGTCATGTGTCGACCCCCGCTGGTTTGTCTAGCACCAAAACGGCATCTTAGCCATGTTGGACGAGGAGTGCCTGAGACCCGGGACCGTCACGGACGAGACCTTCCTGGACAAACTCAACACCATCTGTGCTGAACACCAACACTTCGAGAGTCGCCTCAGCAAGAACTCCAAGTTCCTGACGGACCACAGCCTGCCGCACAGCTGCTTCCGCATCCAGCACTACGCCGGGAAGGTACTAAACGCTGTTCCATAAAATGTTAGAACTGGTCCACAGACACGATGACTTCCTGTTCCTGAAACTCAAACTATCACGAGGAGAGGCAGGTCCTGAAGTTCTGCTTCTCTGAAGTCATCTCTGTTCTTCTCAAGGTGCTGTACCGAACCGAGGGCTTCGTAGACAAGAACAACGACCTGTTGTACAGAGACCTGTCCCAGGCCATGTACAAGGCCACCCACAGCCTCATTAAACAGCTGTTCCCTGAAGGTAACCCCGCCAAGGTCAACCTGAAGAGACCCCCGACCGCTGGGTTCCAGTTCAAAGCTTCAGTGGGAACGCTGATGAAGAACCTGCAGACCAAGAACCCCAACTACATCAGGTAGGGTCCCTCAGACCTGCAGACTCAGTCTGTCTTTGTTAAACTCAGTAACTGTATCATATGTGGAGATCTGAAGATGTTTGGAGTGAAGGCTGCCGTCTCCTTCACTATCACTGAAATCAGAGATTTGTCCACTCAGGGACAGGAAACTGAGAGAGACTGAACAACACTGAGAAAACATTTATAATACAGTTTATTATTATTATTTAATAATGATGATTAATGCGGGAGGACTCAGAAGTCCAGACGAGCTTCACTTCCTGTCCCCACAGAGACTCAGTTTGGTTTTAAAGTCACAGTCCGTCTGAAATTTGACATGAGAATTAAATCGAGTTCTTCTCCTCTGACTTCCTCAGATGCGTCAAGCCCAACGATAAGAAGGCCCCCCACATCTTCACCGACTCTCTGGTCCGCCATCAGGTGCGCTACCTGGGCCTGATGGAGAACGTGCGTGTGAGGAGAGCGGGATACGCCTTCAGACAGGCCTACGAGCCGTGCCTGGAACGCTACAAGATGCTCTGCAAACGGACGTGGCCCCACTGGAGAGGACCTGCCAGGTACCTGCTGTGTTTGCTCTGAGGGAGGGGCTAATTAAGGAGGGAGGGGCTAATTAAGGAGGCGGGGGGTGCGGTCTGGAAGAACGCCAAAACCAATCCCTCTCTTTGTCAGAAAACAGGAGTGTTTGAGAAACACCCACAACAGTCAGTAAGTGAGGAACTGAACCTCCGACTGCTGAGGAGGAGCTGTGAGTGAGGAGGAGCTGTGTGAGGAGGAGCTGTGAGAGGAGGAGCTGTGTGAGGAGGAGCTGTGTGAGGAGGAGCTGTGTGAGGAGGAGGAGGAGCTGTGTGAGGAGGAGGAGGAGCTGTGTGAGTGAGGAGGAGTGTGAGGAGGAGGAGCTGTGTGAGTGTGGAGGAGTGTGAGGAGGAGGAGCTGTGTGAGGAGGAGCTGTGAGTGTGAGGAGGAGCTGTGAGTGTGTGAGGAGGAGCTGTGAGAGGAGGAGCAGGTTATTCTCCTCTGATATCAGGTCACACGGAGGATAGATGCTGAACTTTGATGAAGACGACCTTTTTATTTTATGGAGGCGGAGTCTAAGAGTGTGGGCGGCGGCCTCCTAACTGTCCGTCTGGACCGTTCTCCTCCGTCGGCCCGTCTCACTCACAGATCCTTGAACTCTGTAGATAAAACTCTGAGCTGCAGCAGGAGGAGGAGGAGCTGTGAGATCTGAGCAGACGTGAACTCTTCCTCTCTGAAGACTTTATTCTTCTCTGTCTCCTTTGGTCCACATCAGCCTGGTCAAAGATCTTCACACACCGGGATCTTCTTATCAAACTCTGAAAGAGTTGTTCAGTTTCTTTCTTTCTTCTTTAATCAGGATCTCTGTTTCTTCAGCGTTTTCCTCTCTCGGCTCCACAGACGTCATCTTCACACCTCCTAACCTCTGAATGCTCTGCTCTCTTCTAGAGAAGGGGTGGAGGTGCTGATGGCTGACCTCCAGGTCCCAGTGGAGGAGTACTCCTACGGCCGCTCCAAGATCTTCATCAGGAACCCGAGAACGGTAGGAAACACACTCAGTTTGGGATCAATAAAGTCTGTCTGTCTGTCTGTCTGTCTGTCTGTCCGTCCGTCCCAAACTCAGCTCCATCAGACATGTTCTCTCGCTCCTGTAGACCTCGTCTCTGCGCTCTGGTCGGTCCAGCTGTGTCTCAGTATCTCAGAGATCGTGTCCAGCGTTCTCAGCTGCCTGTTTTTCTCACAGTCAGATGTTTGTGGATCAGGGTGGTCTCCACCTAAAGCCCCCTACAGTAATTAGCATGCATGTAGCTCTCTGCAAACACATGTTCTCACTTAGCTGTCCTACATGGGAAACAGGCGTCTTTACTCTCTGCTCGTAGGTTCTTCATCTGCTGAAGCCTTTTGACTCGATGTTCTTCCATCCAGTGAACTTTGAATAAGAGATCATGATCGTCAGTTATCCTGTAAAAGCTTCTTTTTCTCAGCGGCTGATAATTCTATAATTCTGTAGTTTGAAATCTTGATCTAAAGTTTAGTTAAATGGACACGAATGTTTCTTATCTTCTCACCTGTAGCTGAGAACGACAGGCGTCCCTGTGTATGAAACAGGAACATAAAGCCTGTTTAACGTCATCATGTTTGTGAGACTGAGAAGTTCCTTTTTTCCTCTGAACTCTGAGAAACTCAGAGTTTAATATACAGATTTCTCTGAATAATGACGATAACTCGTATTGATCAGACGTATAAAGGCCGACAGTCGACTTTCCTACCATCCGCCGCCGCAGCAGGAACGTCTTCTTTTCCTTCTGCTGATAGATCAGACTCTGATCAGACTCTGTGATAAATCTGGATCAATATCTGCTCAGATCAAAAATATGTTAGTATTGATCTGTCAGCTGAACGTTTATCCTTCTGAAACTCCGCCCCCTCCCCCTGATTTCAGGGTGAAGGTTAAAAAAAACGTCTGTTTCACTTTAAGATCATGTGATGATGAACTTCAGACTCAGTTTGTTTAGAAAAATGGATTTAATGAAACTGAACTTTTAAAAACATGTTAACGACTTCAGTCAGATTCTTTAGATTGAACTAATGAACTGAAATGAGGCAGTTTGGGGTCAAAGGTCGTCTGCGTGTTTTCACCTTTAGTGTTTTTCATGCTGAACTTTGACACGGAGGTCAAGAAGCTCGAGTTTGTAGAAGAGGATTGAATAAAAACCGTTCAGAGGTTCAGAGCCGTACAGACGTCCGTGTTTCTCTCCATGTTCATCGACGTTTAACCCGTTCGCTGTTCGCTGACGTGTTTGTAGAATATTTAATATTTAAAACCTGCAGAAGGAGCTGAAGGGTCAGATCTCCACCCGCTGTCGTCCAGCTGGACTCGCTCTGACCGGTGAAGCTCTTCTCTCCAGGTGTTGGTTTACAGTAGTCCAGCCGTGCACCGTGCACGTGAACCTCCTGACGGTACTTTAATCCTCTCTCTTGTCTTTTCAGCTCTTCTTCTTGGAGGAAAGAAGGAAACAGTGTCTGGAGGAGCTGGCCACGCTCATCCAGAAGATCTACCGTGGCTGGAAGTGCCGCAGCCACTTCCTGCTGC